ATTTCACCTGCCCCCCCCCCCCTCTGCCATACATTATGAACACAGCTCTAAGTTAAATATTCTTTTTTCCAGGGTAAAATTGTGATGACCCTTTCCTAGATTCCTCAAACCAGCTCCACTGATTACTAGTATTTCTATATTCTGTGGACTCAGACATTTCAATTACTGGGCTTGTGAAATTTTTTTTTTACTGCTGCCAGTCAAAAACATAAAATGTTGATTATTTTTGATTGACGGCAGGAAAAACCGAATTTGCTACTAAGTCTGCAGAATTATCGAAAACTGCAGTAAAGTGGGATTGATTATATAACTTTGAAATATATGTTGTCGCAACACAACAGAAGTCCTCTAATCAGTATCAGCGTGCCTTGACTCACCATAGCAATATCCAACAACGGCTTGCTGGATTTGACTATAATCTATACCAGAATCCTTCAGGGCCTTAATACCTATGAACAGATTATGCGAATAGTAAGCTATAAAGAAATATGTTCTGTCATCAACATAATAAACTCTAGATAGTAGAGCTGGGCTTATAGTCGGGTGGAGAGAGATGGATCTAGGGATGGTAAGAGGGGTCCTTTTTGTTCCTTTTTGTTCAAATATATCTCAGTATATCGTTAGTAACAGTCACCCCGTTTACCTCAAATTCCTGGTAAAACCTTTGTAATTGTACCCTTCCCCCCCCCCCCCCTTCTAAAATTCCTAGATCTACCCCTGGGGGAGTAATAGACCTCTTCGGCTCTGACGTAATGTTTTCCCATTTCAGTATAACTTCTTTGTTTAAGGTTTGCACTTGGTTGCACATGAGAAGACACATGAATATGGATACAACTCAAACAAAGAATCTTATTCTCAAGGGAATGACACATGGCCTAAAATGGAAAAACATTACCCCAAGCCGAAGAGGTCTATTGGGGAGAGCTTATAACCAATTGCTAACAAACTTGTGGCCCTCTAGACTGGGTCGTGTAAAGGGGGTGGAGAAAGGTTACTGTTACATAGGGGCTTATAACTGGAATTTTAGGGTATTATATTATGTAATCACCTGCTTCTTTAGCCATGTCTGGGTAATCGAAATCCTCTCTTCTTCCTGGCTTTTCAAACTGAAGAAGACAATCAAAGACATGACATCCAAAATTTAAACATTGCAGAAAAAATGAGTCAAAACAATGTCAAAAAACTAAATTAAGAAATCGAGCTATTATTTTAACTTTATGATACAAACTTTGACTCTCTTAACCTCCAAAACTTGCAAATCCAAGAAAATAACAATAATTTTGTAGTACAGATAAATCATTGATTGAACATTTTGGATTTAAAAGTTCGAGCAAATTTTGCAACAAACACCTGACTGTTATGCAGATTTTACAGCAATTTTTTGCCGTCTTAGAGATAATTGTACACGAATTATGCAATGATAACCAACCTTAGTCATTCCTACACCAATGACATACACTCTTTTTCCAGGCATTTTTATATATCTTGTAAAAAAATCCCTTAAAATGAAATATTTTGGAAGAAAAGCTTTGCTCGACAGGAACGAAGGTCAAGGAACGAGTCACGTGGTTTAAATACTCGCGACAGGGATCCCAACCAAAAGAACATCTAAAAGCCACAGGAATCCCAGGCCTTTTTTTTTTTGTTTTTTTTTTTGTTTTTTTTTTTTTTTTTGTTTTGTAGCGACATCATAAAGTTAACTAAATTTCCTTCATTTTTCCGTGTTATATCCTCTTATTTACCACCCTTTCGTCATTTAGTCGTTAAAATGTTGTGGAATCACGAGGCATAGGCGAGGGAGTCCACAATATATTTTGACGAGTTTGATGACGAATGAAATGGTAAATATAAAGCATCAGAAGACAAAGCACCGAAAATTGGGGGATTGGTTTTGGGGCTAAAGAAGTGGCACAAGCTGTTGCGCAACAGTCCAGTAATTCTGATTGGGCGGGCTAACGAAAGAAGGCGGAGGCAACGTTACATGCACTTTTACATGCAATGCTAATGTTGCGCAACAAGTTCTTCGTTTCATGGCAGATGTTTCATGTTTAAAGCAAAGCCTGCAATATGCAAGGAATCACGATCTTTAGAATTAAACGATTTCTAAGATCTAGACCGACTAGAACCCGCCTTCTTTTCTCATTTCCCGCTATATGACATTGTCTTCAACATTTTCTTCCGAATAGATATTAAATAGCTGCTGATCGGTATTTCAAGCCATCATATCGATGCTTAATTGATATGTACCCTGGCATCACAATAAAATAATAAAGTACGAAGATATATAAATGCCGCTTCAGCTTAGTCCTTGTTTGTTTGTATGTTTGCTTGTTTGATTTTCTTGTAGTCCTGCATAGTTGTCTGTCTGTCTGACTTTCCGTTTCTGGCTGTCTCTTCTTCTCTCTGTCTGTCTGTCTGTCTGTCTGCAGTGTTTGATTTGTCTGTCTCAGCAATTGTCTGTCTCAGCTACGCTTCTTAAGTCTACCAAAGCTTGCTTCTCTCGTTCTACAGCTTCCAGCGTGTTAGTATTACAGTACAGAGACATGCGCGCACGTTTTATATTCCTAATACAAATCACTATCTGTAATATTGCATTAAATTTCCAATACGAGTAGCAGCAATAAATGCAAGTCGTTGTGCGCAAGCAAACAAACTTCAGTATACATTTGCGCTTTGGCTTGCGTCATGCTGAGATGCCCTTCAAGTATCATCTTTTCTATTGTCACGTAGATTATGCAGCATTGCGTGTTTCGCGCCGCGGAAATGGCAGCGTACGTGACAAGCTAACTTGAGACTTCTGGTATGCATGACTTATCTGGAATAATTTCATTCTGCTTGTGGCTATACCTGTGAAGCGCGCGTCGATAGTTTCATTCAAGCCGACCTCTGCTCTTATTACCTAAAGGTCACCCTTCCTGTTCACTGGCAATTAAATGCGGCGCGCTAAGGGGTGTTGTTGATTTTTTTCTCAAAATCACGACGCGGCTCAATCAACGATCGGATAAAATTGAGCGTGTAAAGATTTGCGGAGGAAATAAATATGGAGAACCTGGAGAAAAACCCAGTACAACTATTRAATACCCCGCAAATCATATGCACATATTAAATTCTATTGTTGTATGACTCGTTCTACAAAGAGTTCTGACCAACTGTATATGGTTTGCGGGGTATTAACACAAACGTCACTAACTCACAGCATGCGATGCGCCGATCGAGTACAAGAATCTTGTAATTGCATGCATGTTTGTCTTGTTCTTTATAAACTTTCGTGTGTTTATATGTTATAAATTCATAATATTGCAGGTATGCGCAATGCAGAATATAGTAAATCAAGCGCGCTCAACTACAGACTCGCGTCTCGGTAAATATTTAGAGAGTTTTAGATTTACGTTCACGGCAAACGTGAAACGTCAGTTGACCAGTAAAAAATTCTTTTAAATTACTGAAAAAGAATCGCAAAAAAAGTCCAAGTAGTAGAAAAACAAAAGAGTATTTGCACTTGGTGAGAAGGTTTGTAAAAGGTAAAGTAAAATACAGGAAAACTATGAAAACGTGGTCACGTTTGCCGTTTGCGGGGAGAAAAAAAAGTCAATCTAAAACTCTCTATTCCCCGATATTCACTTCACCTTTGACGAATAATTGTTAAATAGCCATTGAGTTTGGACGTCCATTTAATTGCATTTATTCCTGAAACTAACTTTATTTTTAAGAAGTAATAAGCAGTTTTTTCAGATATAAATTAATTATAACAGTTCGTCGATAACTCATTTTGCCTACAGGGATGCGCACGCATCGTGTTATATAGTAGTTTTCGTATAACATAGAAAAGCTCAGTGCCGTATCGGTGCCGACGTGCAGTGACCGTGATCTTTTCTATAGAAATTTAATTGGCTGGGCCCAGTTGTACGAAGCCTGGATAGCGCTATCCGGCGTATAAATCCTTATCCAATGGATAGGTCGATGCTGTTTGCCAATACATTTATGCACTGGATAAGATTTATCCGTTGGATAGCGCTATTCAGGCTTCGTACAACCGGGCCCTGATTTTTTTCGCTCGATAGTGCAGCTTTCGTATGACCGTGAAAAGTTCACGGCACGAACACGGTCGTGACACGGCAAGGGATACGCCAGACCAATCACATATTGCACGAAAATTTACTCTCCATCCAATAAAATACCCGGAACATGGCATGAACACGGCGCGGACACGGTCACACCATGTTCACGGCAATGCCAGACCAATCATATTGCGCTTGAAAAAAATCAGCCAATTAAAATTTTAGAAAGCATCACGGTCACGGCACGTCATGCTTACGGCAATGAGCTTTTCACAGTCATGCGAAAACTGCTCTATGATTGGTCTGACAGTGCCGTGACTGTCGTGACCGTGTCCACGCCGCTTTTTCATTCCGTGTTTCGGGTATTTGATTGGATGGAGAGCAAATTTTCGAGCAACGTGATTGGTCTTGCAGTGCCACGCACGTGTTCATGCCGTAAGCTTTTCACAGTCATACGAAAACTGCTCTAATGTGTTTGACGTAGACAAGAGATCTATTAGCGTGAACTTCAAAACATGAAAATCATTGTTTCGCATGCGCGGAAAGCCCGTTTTCAACACTGTGACCCCCACCCCCCAAACCCTTGTATACAAGAATGTGCAAGAATAGATAGAGTCAAGTCGGCTCCTGTGCTTTGGCGTTTATTGTGACGCTGGAAATAATAGATTCTTATCTTAAGACTGCATGGTACCAGTTATTGGGCCAAATATTTTCGAAGTCAACTGAGCATGACTTGACAAAGCGCGCAGAGTCGCAGAATCCTTTGCACTTTCGGCTTGGCTTTGCTTTTTGAGCAGCTGGATATTTATGGTCACTATTCGTCTGGTTTTTAACCTTGGAAGACCTTGCTTAAGTTGGCGCGCTTGAGTAAGCTGGCTCAAAATCTCCGCATGCTAGGCTATATATCAGTACTTTTCATCAATTCAAGCCTGGAGTACAAACACTAAAAGTGTGCAACACTTTGCACTATTTAGTAGTTTAGTATTTTTAGTATTTTCAGATAATCAGTAGCTTTCGATTTCTTCTAAATAAGGAAGTATTGAAGACTGTCTTAGCAAGCTAAAGACGTCACTGCGAGAGTTTGCAATTAGTCGTGCTGTATTGATTGTAGCTAGAAATGTATAATTTTGAAACAAAAGCTTTCGACCAAAAAATACGAATATCGCTAGCTACCTGTAAAATTAAAAGCTATCATTGTGAGCTGTAATCGTAATTACAGCTAATGAGAGAATAGTTTTAGCCGTAAAGGCGCAAAGTATACAGACTGTATTTGGCTCTGTTTTGACGAAACAATAAATCAAGAGGTCCTTTCACGGGTACCACCACCAGTGACCACCCTTAATTCTGCAATTTATCAACTAATGCTTTTGTTTGATTTGTCTCACAATTCTTCGAAAACACCTGTATTGGAGTAATTTAGACGAAAACAAAAGCTGTGGTACCTCCGAGCAAGTACGGTTTGTTAATACGAGAAACCGGTTGCTGAAAGAGTCCATGCAGAACATCATCTCAAGCTGAGGCAAATTGAGTTGTTTTCCCGAATTTACATCTATATATTTTCCGCCGACAAAATGTGAAATGTTTTTGGTATACAAATCTAGTAGGGTTATTCAGATATATTACTTGAGAACTTCAAGGTCAAGCCTTTGCACACAAATAATTTGTGGCGTGCTTAATATGATTCTTTGATAATATAATATATCTTACATTTACATTTCCACGTGTAAAAATTGGCGCCAAATAAGTGGAGTGAAGCCAAGCAGGGCACTGTGTTTTCGCGGGAACATTGACGATACAAAGCTCAGCTTTAAATGAAATTTTAAACCCCATTTAGTGACCAAAAAMCCCCAGATAGATTTTCGATGTCTAAGCAAAAGCTGCCTTTTCAGTTGATAAATACTTGTGCATGAATCCCCCCTCCGCTAATTTGATGCAGCATGCTTAAAGGCACGGTTGTTTCACTCCGTTTGCGAAATTGAATCGGACTCTTTCAAGCCCAGATCCACCTAAAAAAACTGGTGGTCTTAAAAATCTGACATAACCAGTTGGAAAGATGCCATTAATCTTTAGTGACGGTGCTAACGAGCCTGATAGCTGTTGTCGAACTTTAGTTGCCATGTATCGCTATGCGAAGCAAAACAATGCTTTAGCAGGTGACCATTTTCAAGGTCAGAATTCAAACCTCAAAACCAATGAAATTATCGAAATTTGACGAAGACCAAGTGATAAGTGCCTTCGTTCAAGTGTAAATGGAATATATTTAGACTTAGTAAATGGATTACATAATAAATCATTTAGTTCCATGTGCTTGCAAACATACTCCTAGTTAATGACTGTCAGATAATTAACAAGTCTTCAAGACAAGAACCAGTTTCAGTTTTCATCGGTGAAAATTATTTTAAACCATGTGGTCACGGCTATTAAATGATGTGAATAACTCCAACAAATGGAGAATATTACTATTCCCTAATAGTTTTAAGCCCAAAAAGGGCAAATTATATCGTATCTAAAGGGAAACTAATGGAGGAAGCAAAAATACGGTGTCAAAAAAGGCAAGATTCATTCCTTCGGTACTGAGTTCGAGTTCAGAGTAACAATTTGATGCGAAGCTTCTCCAGTCCCTTTCGTTCACAACTCATATAGCTTCAATAATATCAACTGAAGTGATAAAATTTCAATTTGTCAAAATATTTGATTTTTCTTCCAATTTCTTGAATAATAGGTAAGATTAGGTGTTTTTTTTTAAATCTTTAAGTGAGATTAACCTTCGAGTCCAAAAGTTTAACCTATCAAACAAACGAATTCAATACCTTCAAAAAAATCCACGAGATCAAATGAGATCAAACTGATAAAAGAAACTTGACCACAATTAGTAAATTATTTCAAAGATTAAAGGTATTTTTCCCCTCTGAAATAATATTGAATCACGAAAATGAAAGGTATATAAAGACAACATCCTCCCAAAATCCCCAGGAGCCGTCAAAAAACAATGAAATTTTGGCGCCAAAAATTTAAATAACCTTTCCCTGCATGATTTCACAGTTAAATGGCGTTCGGCACATGGCCGTCGACGATTCACAATGATAAATTACTTAACAATGAAACTTTAGCTCTTAAAGAGGCTAGAATTCCACAAGAGTGCTAAAATGTCAACTCGATATTGCTATTAAAAGCTTGTTCAACACAGAACAAAAATGCCTTACTTCTCATTTAGTAAACAACTCAACACGTGTTCTACTTTTACTATGCAAATGCCGTGACAACATGAATATGTAAAAGCAAAGAATAATACCCGCCAAAATGCATCTTAAAAATAGATTCTTGGAAAAAAACACTTCATTTGCTTAAGGATTATGTATTAAGGGTTGAATTTTGAAGATTGAATTTAGGAATTAAGGATTTCTGGAGGATTTTATAAAGTTTTTTAGTGGTTTTGCGATTCGTTTACGGTAGTGGCCTTTTGGCGGGATGTAAAAGCAAAACTAAAACCCGCATAAACACATCTAAAAATTCATTTCCTCGGAAATAAACTTTATTTGCTTAAGAACTGTTTATTAAGGGTTGAGTTTTGCAGTTTGGAGGTAGGAAAGAAGGCGCTTTCAAGGAGTTTTTAGGGATATTTTTGGTTTGTTTATGGCGAGTGATTTTTTGGCGGGATTTTCAATTATGAGTGACGTCACTACTACATTATCATAGGCGGGAAATTCATAAAGACCTTGGTCTTCACTCGACCGATTCATTTACACGATTGACTTTAAAAATGGCGGATGTCCTGACTATCTCTCTTCAAAAGAGCGGTATTTACTTCCCACAGCCGCGTCAAAACTGCTTCAACTTTGGTGAAAAGGTGTTCTGTCCTCTTCCAACTACATCAAACTCTTATGAGAACTCAAAACCGAAATTACCGTCGAGAAGTTCAGTGATTGTTTGGTCACCTTCATCGTCGTCTTCCAGCAATGCTTCGAGTCCGCCTGGTAAGATTACTCCTCCAAGCAGTCCTCCTCCTCTGATTTCGACTCCCAGACAGCAGTCGACTACGCAAGAGCCTAGTAGTCCTACCTCTCCGTCTAATTCTACTCTCCGAGGACGTCCTAAAGCTGATCTTGTGAATAAACTAATCGCTGAAGGTCACAAGTCTTGTTCATCGATTCGTTGTGATGTATGCGGCCGGGTTTTCCCGCGCGAGAAATCTCTCCAAGCTCACAAGCGAACACACAGTGGAGAACGTCCTTATGTCTGTGATTTCCCAAACTGTGGCAAGTCCTTCGTCCAGAGCGGCCAACTAAAGACTCATCAAAGGCTACATACTGGAGAAAAGCCTTTTCTTTGCTCAGCCGAGGGTTGCACTACAAGATTCACGCACGCTAACCGACATTGTCCTCTTCACCCTTACGCAAGCCTCAAGAGAGTGCACACAGATCTCCCCCTAAAAGAAATCTTAAACAACGAGAACTCCGAACCAAATGAGTACCGAGCTGCTGTGCTATCGTGGCTTGATAAATATGAACGAGAACGCGATGAAAGGGCGCCAACAAGGAACGAAGAAAAAGATCTCAAACGACGATACGAGAGAGAAGCCGCAAAAGCTCAAGGAGTGGAACGAAAAAAGGCGCGGATTGATGCTAAAAGAAGAATGTCCGATGCCCGTGATCGATGGTATGGAGCTATGGCTCTTGTAGAACTGGCCGATAAGGCTTAGAAAAGGACTTTATTTTTATAAATACTGCTTCTCTTTAAATTTAGCCTAGATAACGTAATCGGAGATGTTTATTTCCGATCTGAAATACTTTTCATACGTTGGCACTTTAAAAGCCCGCCATATTAAAATTCGCGTGATTTGGACTTATTTATCCTAAAAAAATACCTAAAAGCAAACTTTTTAGGTCTCTTGATCTTTTAAACTAGGTAGGTTTCTAGAACTTCTGGGTTAAAACAGCGTGAATGTTATTTAAAACAGTTATATTTATGCTAATGAGGTTATAATTATTCACATGAAACAGACATGGATTTTCCCTACACGGAAAATGTGTATTTCCTCTAAGCATTCTTGTAAATATTAGTCTAGTTGGACATTTTTGAAGAAGATTTAGATATATATTGTCATAGTGTAAATATAGATATATTTTTAAAGGTAACTATCTTAGTACGGTGGAGTGATTTTTGTAGACAAGATGCTAACATTGTAAATATATACCACTAAAGGAATCAAAAAGTCTCAAAACTATTTAGTTAGATAATGACTTGGGATAAAAAGGAGTTTCTGAAGATTTTGGAGTTAAAACAATGCTTTTGTATGGAATTGTGAGTCTGAATATTAAAAAAACATTTAGAATTTAAAACAAATGCGTCATTTTCTGATTGTGAAATGCTATGCTTGAGCAAGTCTTTGTTACTGAGAAATTTGACTTATTCCCATGACATTTAAACCATTATTTGATAACTTTAATAACAAAGTTTTGACCGGGAATGAAATGTTAAAGTCGAATTACAACAGTGTTATATAACCTGCCAATTTGCTATAAATGGCAAATTAACTTCTTGGTGATAGGAGATTGGAGATTGCTTTGCCATGCTAGAAAGATCTAGTGGAATGAACACTTTGATTCTCATTGATGTTAAAGTTTGCTGAGATTTTAAAATCCCTGATAAATTTATTGAAGTTTTCACGTTTCTTTTTAATATTATTTTTTGAGTTGGTGATAATTGTGTGATGGCATGCTTCCGACAGACTGCCCTACCTGTCGCTTATTTGTCACTGCATCAGAGACATCACCTTAAAAGTATGCTGTCAGCTGTTGTTTGTGTCATGTTTGTGTCACTCAAACTTGTTTACTATTTTCTAAGACATACAACAAACCATATAGGGTACTTAAACTCTGTTAATGCGATAGGAAAATGTCAGACATAATTTTTGCTGAAGATTTTGATTCAAAATTTAAAATTTAGTTTATTCGTGATAGACATCAATGTGCTCAGGGAATTCAAAGTGTTCTTCAACACACACCTTTAATCACAACTGATGTGTGACTAACTCATATTCTATAAGTTGAACTCAAAGATGAACACTTTCAAAGTCTATATGTCCTTAACTAAGCCTATTGTATCTTAAAATGATCTAGAACAGAAAACCTAGATATTAGCTGTAGTTTTGAAATGTGCTGTGACTTGAAGGAGCACCATTTCAAAAGCTTTACGGTTGAGTTAATAGTCAGAGTTGTCTTTGAATAATAACATCCTGCGTTTACTAGTGGCAATATCTTCCAAGCATGAGATCATTCTTGGAAGACTTAATATATTTCAATAACCAATCCTTGGATAATCCTTGAAGGATTTATTTGAATTAATTATTGTATTTTTATTTAGATTCTTTAGTAATGAATACGTTTAGACTTTTTAAAACCCTTAGGAACATTTTTGGATTAAAAAAAAAAGTTTAACCTTTGCAAGCCTTTGGGAATACTTTAAATGAATATGGATTTTAAAAATAAACATTTGCAGGAAGTTTACAACCAGAGAAAAACTGTGGCAAATTTCTTAAGATATGAATTAATAGTTGGTAGTTGGTGAGGAGGTGAAAGTGGAGTGTTGTGGAATGAGTTACTATAGATGTTATTGAGATTATTGAATGATGAACTTGACTGTCTTTGAATAATATGATCAGTGAGCCTGAAATTCAAGTTAAGTAAAAACTTAAAGGTTTGTACAAGAAATGGTAAATCTTAACTATTACCAAAAGCTATCTAAATGTAGGGAAATTCTTGTAGGATGACTCTTAAAGAAAATTCTGGGTGATGTATGTGGTATAGTGACAATACATGGGTTGGTTTCATCTCAATACACACGAGTGAGTTATAAAGCATGGCATTTTTGATGCATGACCTCATCCATCATTCATGTTTCCTAGCACTGAAGAGGTCTTGCTTTTTTTTGTGATTGATGTTAAACGGTATAAATTCACTCCCACAGTGCATGCATTATTGTTGTGGTACATGATATGTAAACAGGATAGATATAGGCAAAAAGAGCAATAATCAAGACTAAGTTGGAAGAATTGAAATATTTTAATTGTGTGTAACTGAATTTGAGACTTAAGATCGTTCAGTGACATGACATGGTTGGGCTAGAAGAGCATTTCCCAGGTTGTCTGATAATATATTCAAATACAAGGGTGGCATTTCAACGAGACAACACCAAAAAACTGGTGCTAAAATTCCTTCACTCGATGAAACTGATCTGTTAAAGACCTTTATAAGTATTTCACTTAATCTTAATTCTTAAACCTTTCTTTACTAGAAATCTTAAGAGCTATCCATTAGTCAGCTCGTGCATTTTCGGCATGTGATACTGGGAACAGTAATGGTTAAAATCTTTAAAAAGAGCATTTATGATTATGACTGTTAACCACAAATATTGATTACTATAATTATATGATTTCAATCTCAACTTTGATTGTTTTCTTTTATTATTGTGCTATTAAAGAATAAAGGCTGTGTTTTAGGGTCAAATTTATTCTTAAATTGAGAATTGGGGAAAAAATTAACCAAGTTTTTTTTGTACACAGGACAAAAGTCAAAAGATTTAGAAGGTGATGCAGAGGTTGCAGGCCCTGTAGTTCAAAAACCCATTATAAACGCCCTACTGGACATGGGTAGGAGGTATATGAGACTGGGTGTGTACGATACAATCACTGTAACAGCATGCACATATCACCATTTAAGCATACTTGCCGTTATGGGATAATAGATGGGGAGGTTCAGAGGAAGGAAGTAAAGGGAAGGAAATCAAGGGAGTGTATACATACAGAAAAAAACTCCAAGGATTTACAATTGATTTCTATTAGAGCTCGTGGATGGGGTACTTAATCAAACATAGTTCTTAATATACTATGAATTTCTTTGGAATACAGTGATCATCCACTGAATCAAAACAATGAGAAACGACGCTGAAAAAATGACGCTTAAACAGTCATGCTTCTCGATTCTGCATTGTTAGGAATTGTTTACACACAGTTTTAAAAACAATGCTTTAAACCCTTATAGGATTAAATTAAGAATTTGAATTTAAACGTTTTTTAAATCTAGTAGTAAATTGAAATGTGGTATGTACATTTTATTATGCTAAAGTTAGAAGATCGATGTTTCAACTTTAAGATTAATTTGATTATAAGTGGGATGATGATACAATGATATTACTGTATGTACTCAATTGAGTTAAGAGCACCGAATTATTAATTATATTGATTAAGCTTTAATTAATGTAATTATGAATTCAATAAGAAAACTGTAAGAGGTACAAATATGAGCCGATATTTTCCCAATAATGTATTTTTGACAAGTAAATTAAAATATAATCAAAAGAATATTAAGGGCATTTACAATATCATTATTATTAATGAGCCCCCTCGATGAGCTCCTGCTCTTTGGGCAAACTAAAAAACATGCCAGTCTAAATAAATACTCAAAAATCAAAAAAATCTTTTGTGTAGTTAATAATAAATAAATGATAATGGGAGGTTCTTGTAAAGCGCATTTATACAACGTCTCAATGCGCAGCCTTTACATTAATGACCAGTGGAGGACTTTACGGGCTGCATATTAAGGCGCTAGTAGCAGCCGTGTAGCTTACAATCATGAATGATTTGTTAGCACATTTCTAGCGTTATGCCTCCAGACAGGGATAGGCTGTTGAACCGGGAGACAATTCTACTCTTACATGAATAATTCAACAGGTTCTTTTATGTCCCCCATTTACTGTAGGTTAGGAAGGGTTGGGAGACAGGGCCTACGGTTTAGAGTCCTTATCCGACAAGACTTGAAGGTCTAACCATTTGCAGATATTATTACAAAGGCAGCACCTTCTCTTTGGTTATTTTAAAACTCTTAGTGTTGGTCCGGCCGAAGCTTGAACCCTGACCTCCCGCACAACAGACCAACACTCTTGCCAACTGAGCTAGCCGGGTCTATTTACATTATTACTATTATCCAAGTTTAACAGTTTTAGATACTAGTTAGATTTTTTTAGGCATTTTATATACTTATGCATCTCAATTTAAATAAAAAACCTTAAAATTAAGGTTGTTCAAGGATTTTTTTCTTCACAGACTTGAATCTATTCTAAAAAGTTTATTTTGGGAGCAGTATTTCCGTATAAAAATTAATCAGCTTTTCAGAATTTTCCAGAAAAAAAGATATTTTCCTAGTCTTTACCCTCCCCTTCTATGAAGGAATCTTTTTACCCCCACCAAGGGTAGGGTGGGGATTTGTTTATAGCACACTTGTTTACCCAAACGCAATATTAACCAAAAACAAGATTTTGTTAGAATTTAAAAGTACTATTTAAAAAAGCCAGAAGTGAAGAAACTCCATCTGGCTTCACTGATTTGAAGGGGATTGAGTAATTAGTTTTGGAATGCTTAATTTAAATTAAATATTTTTAAAAAAACACCTTTCAGACAAAGTTAAAATGCAGTTGATCATGACCTCTACAGACAGTAGCACCCAAAAGCATGACCACAGATAGAGTTTCTCAATACTTTCATTCGCCCTTTATGTAATCAGCATTATGGTAGGATTGTCTTAACATTCTGATCTAAACACTCATAGTTGGAGGATATATGGCAAGACAAGAGTAAATTTGTATTTAAAACATCAGTTCTCAGATAGTTTTGAACTTTGAGCTATAAATTACAAATAATGTATTAATTGTACATGAGCGGCCACATACAATTTATGTATCTTATAGAATATGGATGAGATTATTGTATGTCATGTATCACACACCTAGGAATATTATATTTTTGAGATGGCAATTGAGTTAGAATGGAAAAAAAATGTTAAAATTGGATGCAAATGAGGATAATTCAGTATTCAATTTACAGTCTTCTAGACTGCAGTGGCGCAGCGATCCAATTTTCCCCTCCAGACTCAGTAAAGATGAGTGTTTCCTGTCGATCTGCAGAGAGATTTTACTGACTCTGGAGGGAAAAGTGAGATCCCTCTCATTCTAAAAGTCCTCTGTCTAGTGACTAATTTGTGTTGGAGCCAATGTGCTTTACTTCTGTAGGCGGTTAAGCATGAAGTATAAGGGAATAAAGAATAAGGGATTAAATAGATAAAATGCATGCTGTTGAGCACGGAATAAAGAATAAGGGATTAAATAGATATGCACGTGAAAATTGGGATTACATCACCAGCTCTATGTAAGAAATGTTAATGTCAAATTAAAGTGAGGAGCAGTTAATACTTGAGGACTTCGTTGTTGGTTTTGGGCCCGACGCTAGATTTTTATAGGCAGAGTGATGGACGGTACGCTTCATTAATTATTTAATATTATTTAATATTAGTATATAAAAGTAAAATATGCTTGTGGTGCATGGAAGGCAGATATGTATAAAAGGGAACAGAATGCAATGCTTGCAAACATATATAATATTTAAAAATAAAAATAATTACAAATAAACTATATTATCTCCGTGTTGGAGCTTGAAAATTAATTTTATTTTAGAAAGAAGTATCTATAAAACAAAATTTTGCTTTGAAAATTCACAATGAATATGATATGATGAAACAGAATAAAACTCATTGAAAGGACAAATATGTCTAAACATTGATTCACCATTCCATATTTGTTTATATTATAATTTTTTAAATTTTGAAGGCTGTGCACTATTTATATTAGCCTGGGTACGAGTTAATGATAATGTTAGTCAGAGGCCAGCAATGACCCTAATTATTATTTTTTGTGTCAAATAAAAACAATCAATTACCCTACAATGCCTGACTTTTTTTCTGTTACAGCATGTTTTCCCATTTCAGAACATATAATCCCCAGTAATAGTCCCCTTCACAGTTCCCTGCGCCATCTTGAAAAATAGCCATGCCTTTGCATCAAAGCAAGAGGAACGGTGAGCTTGCAATGATAGAGATTGTCCAAGGTGTTATCATTGCAAGTTCACCGTTTGTCTCACTGTGATGCAAAAGCATGAACACCTTAAAAAATGGTGCAGGAAGCTGTGAAGGGGACTATTTCACAATACTCCAGTTTCAAGTTCTCTGTCGCTCAGGGTCAGCCTCAATTTTATGCAGAATATTAACATGTTTTGGCAGTCAAGGGCTGTCAAGTTTCAAAGTGTTTGTAATGTTAAAGTTGTGCATTCTTTACTTATAAATTTATTACCGTTTGTATTTGTGAATCTTTAGATGCTGAAATTAGGCTAACCCTGAGTAAATGAGTCTGTAATCAAGGAATACAGCTCAGTAGTTTGGAACTCGAAAATTGTCTAATATTTGTTTTATGCGATTTAATGCATATTATTATATAATTACCAATGAAATATCTATTTTTCTCTATTTCGAAAAATTGATATCTTCACACGTGAAAATAACATGTTATTTTCACGTGTGAAAATAACACCATTGCGATGGCTATTCAAAGATACACGGAAAGAATTGCCTGAAAAAGCCAAAATATACTTCATTGATAATTATATAATAAACAGAATATTACATGGGCGCTTGGAGATACAAAATTTATCTTCTGTTGAAAAGATCTCTCACAAGTGAGCGCAGCGAACGAGTGAGAGATTTTCAACACTCGAAGATAAATTTCGTATCTCTGCGCGCCCATGTAATATCCTCTATATATCTTACAGTGAAGACACTCAAACCATGAACACTTGACTTCATTCAGATTTTTATTTTCTGAGCTTTTTACTGCTTCAAACCCTCTAAAAAAGTAGGATTGAACTCAAATATGCTATGTGATCAAAAGACAACTTATGTCTAAATGATTCACTCAAGGGATGCATGTTAAAAAAAGTAGTAAAAAAGCACAAAGTGTTCATCCATTGGTTAGTGTCCTCACTGTAACAAGCAAAGGGACTTCTACTTTCTACAGGGACTAATTCGCAGATCGAATTGGAATTTTGAGGGTTAAGTTAAAATATGTGGTGGGGGGGGAGGGGGGGGGGGGGAAGAAAAACCAGAGAACCAAGAAAGAAAAAAAAACCCCACTCAAATCAAGAAAGACTTGTACTTAATATCTTACGCACAGGAAAAAAAATGGATTCCCAAATTGGGAATTCGTTGGGAATTTCCTTAAATTCCCAATGAATTCCCATCCTGTTCCCAGAGAGAACAAAATTGGGAATGTGGCACTGGCACTTAGTTTGTTGGGAATTTTGTTTTTCTGTTGGGTATTAGAAGGAAATTCCCAACAATAAATCCCAACGTTGGTGTTCAAATTAGGAATTCAAGGAAATTCCCAACAATTCCCAATTTGGGAATCCGTTTTTTTTYCCCCTGTGACGGGGACTCCAGGAAACAAATCCAGGACCCCAGGGGTGATTTTATGATCTAACCCTATGCCACCCTTGAAGGGAATTCCTACAGGTCTGTAAAAAGGTATAAATAAATTATCTAATCTGGTAATGGTCCCTGTAAATAATGAGTAGTCCTGAACAATGAAATAATACTCAAGGAAGTGATTTGTGGTCTGAAATGGTAAAACACTACAAACGAGCTGAAAGTATATTGTGTAGTTTCAAATATTATCCATACCCCCCTCACGGAGGAATTTTTTTTAGACACCCCTCTACCCCCTGGAAATTCCAATTTTCTTCCATTATTATGAACTTTTTTTGTTCTTTCTCTGACTCCCTACTCTTTGGAAATTCCAAATTCCTCTGTGGGGTAGGTATGGATGACTTCTAGAACTACATGTACACATTGTAGCTTTCTACTGTTATTGCTCATCATTACGATGCCATAAACAAGGGTAAAGTGATGAGATGCAACACAGTATAGCCACTAATATTCAGGCCAGCAAATAGTACCATGCAATATATGTACCCATTCTCATAACTAATCCCATTTTCATTGCTATAAAGGCTTTGCACCATCACGTGATGACAGCAATGACAGGAGGCACAACAATAGAGTCGTTCTCCCCTGGGAAAGTGAATTCTTTCTCATGTAAATCAGATTAGACCAGATTCAATTGTTCCTGCCTCCTGTCATGGCTGCCATCACGTGACCATGCAAAGCCTCTATTTACGAAAGATTAAACTCTAGCTGTCAGGGGCTATGCTGGTCGCATAAGGATATTATAAAACTGGGTGTAAAATTCGTTTTGGGCATTGTTGAGAATTTTGTACATAGTATTGCAGGCATTATTCTTAAATCTCTTAAAGAGGTGGCTATAGCTAGCCACCCAATTCACCCCATCCATCCCCCTGGACCTGCCATTATGACACAACACATTTTACCATGCATTGTTACTTTTCCCAGCATACTAAACCTGCTAAAAAAACCTTGAAGACTGCTGCTTAATTTATACGAGCAAGTACAATAACTGGATGCACCTTGGAGTGCCATACAATAGACCTCTAAGACTTGCAAATTTACTTGTCATGAATGATAAAGAAATAATAGCTCCATGTCGAGGATGGAATTGATAAAATACAGTAAATGTATGAACACATCAAGTCCAGCCTCGACGTTGAGCCACTGGTGGTCACTTATTTATTTTGGACTAAACTGAATGCAGTGTATCAATAGATCATCTCTATTTGAAATAGAAAACAAGCACACATGCTCTGTGCAGTCATAAAGCACGCGGGGGTGGGCAGAACACGAGAAAAGTGTTAGGAGAAGCACAACGCATAGTGGACTGCTTCTTGACACTTCTCAAGTGCTCTGCCAATCCCCAAGTGCTTTGTAACGGCACACAGCACAGCAAGCAAGTTTTTTATTTCTTTTATAAAATACAAATTACAATAACCATTATTTTAGGTAGGAATGACGCAACTGAAAGTGCCCATGTGTGCTATGTGCTCTCATAAAGCATGCACTCCAAACCAATCAGAACGCGACACTCATAACAGTTATTTTATAATGATAATTATTTTTCAAATTGCTCATGCATTTCTCAAAGTAAAATATTTTAAAGTATCACAATTGCTTTTTGTTTCATTGAGAGTTACTGGGATCTAGCAGGGAGAGTAAGAGAACCCCATTAATAGCAAAGAGTATCCCCTGTCCCACCCCCCCTGATGCACCCTAACTTGACCCTCACAGAACCTTTACAAAAAATATGCATTTTTCGCCTTTCCATTCCTTGTTTTCTTCAAGGTAAGATAGTATTATTTAACTGATGCTTAGTAAGTCATTTTGAATTTGTGAGAAAGTGTGAATGAATATAATACTCATTTTCTACACCCTAATCGTACCATTTCAACAAACAAAGATCCAAACCATGATGAAAATCTAAATTCTCCCAAAATGATTAACTTTCTCAGGCTTGATACCATGTGGATGAATTTAGACTTTGATCAGGTTTGAATGGACTGTTTCGCAGGGACAGAAGTGAACTAGCCATTTTAAAATAAGCAAGGAAATGATGAGTTTCATTTTAAAGATGAATGTTTTTGACAAGCTTTAGGGGCCATTTGCAAACGAATTTCTGAAAACCTTCTACTATTGTGCTGCTGCTTTGAAACTGCTGTTTTCATTGCTACTGTACATGATGACTTATATCAGGTTAATTGGCATTAGACTATTAGTATATATAATAGGACTCCATGCTGTCCAATTAAGAAATAATTGGATGAGGAAAATTCAGAGGACTGACAAAATTAGATGAGGCCGTAGGCCGAATCTATTTTGGCAGTCAGAGAAAATTTTCAAGTCTAATTATTTCTTGATTGGACAGCGTGAAATCCCATTACCTATTAATTATATAGCTGCCTAATTAATCCCACATCAACAAGGCCTGTCCAATTAAGAAAATAATTGGACAGTTACCTATATGGGATTAATGAGAAGCTGTATAATTAAGGACCATTAATTAATTGATTTGTTGGTCCTTGTACCAGGAGATTACACTTACAAAAAGTTCCAAATTGGTACATTCGTGCAGATACATTCAGATTCCTTGCTCATTTTAATATAACTCAAACATGATATTTGACACCATAGTAAGATTAAACTATTCATAGCATTTAAAAATCAGATAGTGCTATTCTGATGGAAACTCCATAACTATTTTGGGCAATGTCTTAATTATTGGTGATTTCTTTAAAGTCTTGCATATCAAGAAGCTTTAGTTTTTATTTGATTTATCTGAAGAAGAAATATTAATATTTGGGTTTTTCAYACAAATAACTAGTCTAAATTGGTTTACCGGTGAAGTAGAAGTCATTTGTCAGCTAGCTCTCGGAAATATATCTCCCTGAAAAATAAAATCAACTTTATTTAACAAACTAAACAATATTTTGTTTTGTTTGTTGTGAAATGTGATCGCCCAGGTGAGTGTAGTCTAGAGAAAGACTGTTGTTGGTGGTGACTGACAGTTTGTTGTGAAGTGTAATGGTCCAGGTGAGTGTAGTCTTGAGAAAGACTGTTGTTGGTGGTGACTGACAGTTTGTTGTGAAGTGTAATGGTCCAGGTGAGTGTAGTCTA